GGGTAGCCCAGCAAAGAGTGGGCTCATGAGGGGAGTGGAGCATTGCTTTTGATTTCCCAGGTAGTAACACAGACCCAGCATCTTAGGTAAGCACACTCATCAGTGGGTAGTAGAGAGGAGGGAAAAGAAAGCAGGCAAAGGTTTGTGGGACAGCAGTGCTCCACAGCACTTCAGCCCCTCCATGGAGGTACTGAAGAAGTGAGGTCATCAGCCTTTAGATTTTGGCACCCCCAGTAAGCATAAAACAAGGCTTAGACCCAGTTCAACTTTGCAGCTCCTCTATCAGCAGAACAGCTGAAGGAGTTAACCGAGTACAGTGTCCAGTTCTGATCCACACAGTTCAAAAAAGATGCAGGTAAGCTGGAGAGAAGGTCCAAAGGGAGGCCACAACGATGATCAAAGGACTGGAGAACCTGTCTTACGAGGACAGACTGAAGGAATTATGTCTGTTCTCCCTGGAGCAGAGAAGGCTCAGGAAGAACTCATTAACATATTCCAGTACTTAAAGGGCAGCTGCAAAGAAGATGGAGGCTCTCTCTCCACAAGGAGCCTCATGGAAAAGACAAGGTGCAACAGGCACAACTTGCATTGGGAGAGATTTCATCTCGACATAAGAAACAATCCATCACTGGAACAAAATCCCATGGATGACTCCCTGTGACTGGAAGTTTTCAAGATGCAATTGGACATGGGGGTAGATGATCTCATCTAGACTTCCTTTCCCATGGAAGGTTGGACCAGATGATCTTCTGAGGTCTCTTCCAACATGGGCTGTTCTGTGGTTCTGTGAGTTTGATGAACAGGGAGTCTCTAAGCAGGCTTTGCTCCTGAGGAAAATGAGTGTGGAACAATACCTCTCAATATATCTGGCCTTCTGTGTTTCTTGCCTTGAGAGCATTGCAAATAGATAAAAGTGGTCTCTTCTTTAATCTGTCCTCATTGATCCTACAGCTTAGAGAATCAGGTACTTGAGGGCACCTTATGAATGGAAAAGTCTCTTTATTTTCAAGAACCCACAATACGAACAGTATTGTAACAGAAAGTTAGCTTGGAGTTTTCTGTGGTACAATTGAAGTAATGAAAAACCAATAAAAGCAAATTTTTTAAATTCCATATTTTGACTTTAAAGAGCTTGTCTGACTAATTGCAGTCTTATGGACTTTTACAAATAAGTTTCATTGTGTTACAAGCTGTTGCAATATGTGGTCTTCTCAAGCCTGGATGCTCTTTCTCATCACAGCACCAACAAAACAAAACAAAACAAAACAAGGACTTGAGAGATGGTTTTCCTGTGCCAAACACCATGTTCCTTCTATCAAAACAGCTAACAACTTTCCTCTGGGATTCATATATAAATTTACTTCCAGTTTGAAATATCTTCCTTTCAGAGGAAGATTGTCTCCTACCCTATGATTTATGCAAAACAGCATTGTGCTTTGAGACAAGGGAGGCACCAACAGCAAATGTCCATTAGTAGAAAGAGCTTGCCAGCAAGATTCCCTCTTCTTAGCTAGGACCCCACACTTTCAGCCTCTTATGCCTCTTTCCAGGTATGTGTGTTGAAGTAGCCCAAGTGTTCCTCTGCAGGATTATTCTCATTTGTTTTCTGAAAATAGTCTGTTTTCTGCAGATCGCTATACATTGAAAGAAAATATCTCTATCTGAGCCCTCTTCTCGTCACTTCAGTGGAAAATTAGTCATTTGGAGGAAACATGAAATCAAGGAGATAGACAGGCGTGCTGTTTCAGCTCCTTGCCTCTACATTATCCTGAGGAGTTTTGGAGAGATTAATTGGAGTTCACAAACCCCAAGGCTGATGGAAGGTTAGGGTGTTGCCTGGGTCTCTCACCTAGGTCAGCTGTACTTCAGAATCTCCCTATGATGGGGCTTGTTTCTGATCAAATAAAAGTAAATTTACCTCCAGTTTATTATTAGTATGAAATTCTCTTTTTGGTCCAATGCTTCCTAGCAACCTGAGTGCCTGTCAGTCAGTTTGCTTTTCATAAGTCTGTGGAAACAGAGTACTTGGTGAATTCAATATCCTTGAAAAGATAATGACAGGAGAAATAGCCAAGCCCATGAAAGGCAGAAGGCACTTTGCTATATTAATGTGATCCAAATCCAGAGTTCCAGGAGAGTGTGGGGTAACCAAGAAGGGGTACATGAGAGGGGAACTGACTGGGATGGTGCCACCCAGCCTGTCTCTGGCCTTGGTACCCTCCTCTTGGGCTGTAGCAAGAGGTGTTCAGTGCTGACAGTCCTATTGCCTGTCCCCTTGGAGCTAAGTGTGTCACTGCTTTTCTTTACAAATGAAGCAAGGAAAAGTGTTTTCCTTCAAAGCTCTGAACTGAGTTTGGGCACCTTTCTTCCTTCTTGGGATGTCAGTTCTTTCATTCAGCATCACCCACTCTCCTGGCTTGGCTCCTTTGGTTCTTGGGGAACCCAAACCTGCAGCTTCCAGAAGCCTTTCTTAGCTAGCAAGTTATAAGCTGTTTCAGGGACTCTTATTCCCTCCTGCTGAAGTTGCTCCATTTTAATTGTGAGTGATGACAGACTAAGGAGGTCTGAAGGAAAGTACGCATGGCAGTGCACAACTGAACAAGGGCTGAGGCACAACTGGGCAGAGCAGCTGCCTCTGCCAGCTATTTCTGTATCAAATAACCATTGCAGGGACTGGAGACCAGCTCTTTGCTCTCCCTATTCATAGTGCTAAATCACCAAGCCTGAGTTGTCTCTGTCTGCTCTGCCCAGCCCTGTCAGTGTTTAATTATGCCATCCGGGGCCCAACAGCTTCAGTGGGAGAGAATGAACTCATTCCCCTCCCCTCCTAAAAAGTCTGGGGTCTGAGGTGTGCCTGTCCCTGAGGAATGGGGGGTGTGAGGCTTGAAGCTTTGTGTGCTCAGAATCAAAACAAAATGGGGTTTCAATATGATTGGCTGTGGCCCTTGTGCATAGGGCAGAAGGGGGCTGGCCCCTCATCCTGCTGTTTTCAGTGCTTCCTTCGCACAGTGCTCTTCCTGAGCATGCCTGTGGCACAGGGCCTCCACTGCAAGGCACAGAGTGGGATACCAAATTTGTTCACTGGGACAGGAGGCAAGTATGGCCTCAAAACTGTCCCTTCCTAAGGACTTAAGACAACACATCATAAAATCTGGACATTTAGAAATCCCCGCATACTCCCATGCTGTCCTACTAGACTTTTTAAGAGCTTTTTCTTCAATGTAGGAGCATTGGCCTCATGATGATGAAGACATTAACATATCTGTTATTTTTACAGGGATAGAAAAAATTGTACATTCTCAAACCTGTCTAAAACTATCATAAAATGACATTTTTCACATATTAAGAGTGGCACAGTCTCAGGATGTGATGTACTGACATGTACATACTCTTCTGACTTTCTTTGAGACTAGCTCACATAATTCACTTAGTTGTGATATCTGTGAGTGACGTACCTTTCCCACTTTCATTTTGGAATAACACAAATAACACTCCAATCTGTATTTTGTATTTTACAGACATGTGCATAGCTTTTACTTAAGGTTACAAAATGTTATATTTTGTAATATACACTAGCCCTGTGTAATTGGGCTAGTTCTCAATTGGGTGGCATAATCTTTGCCTCAAGTTCATTTTTTGTTTTATTGTCATGTTAGACTACTTTATTTTAAAGAAAAAAAAATTAAAGGGTCTCACAATAATTTCTTGAAATTATTTTCTTGCTCATTTTAAAAGCAGGTGGTTTTGTAGAGCTGTGATGGCTCTGTTGTACTGAGTAAAGATTTCAGATTTCCTACAGGGATAATACTGAGTGCTATTATGAACACTGTGAAAAAGCCTGGAGCATTGGTTAGTTCATGAATCTTAAACAGTCATTGCTTACATAGGGGTAGGATTTCAAAAGGATTTTTTCTTAAAATGTCTGAACCTTTCCTTAGTCCTTAATTTACCTCCCAAGCTCACACACATTGTCAGAAAGGCAGGCGAGAGAAAAATTGATGCCCATACTGTTCTGTTTCCCCATCCATTTGAGCTTGTGGGAAAGATGCTCTCCAGGGAAATCCAGGAGCTCCCTTATGCCCACCAAAAGTTTGTAGGTTTTACAGCCCTTCCCTGGACCTTGGCCTTATAAACACGCCTTGAAAGACAAGCAGGTGCCCTGCCCCCATTTTACAGATGGTTCAACAGATGTTGGCAAGTATCATTAGAAAAAGAGCTCGTGATTAAGTGTACATCCACAGCATAGTCCTAAAAACCAGCTGGCCTTGCAGAACAGCCTCGTCATGCCCAGATATTTGCTCCTGCTGCTCGAAACTGGAGGGTCCCACCTGGGGCAGGGAGCAGCGAGCAGGAGCTGGGACCTTTGCTCCCCTTTGCCACAGGTGCACCCTGGCTCCCAGCCCTGCCTCCAGGGTCAGCAGTCCTCCTCCACTGCCAGGAGGGTGTGCTCAGCCTTTCCATGTCTGATGCCAGTTGTGCTGGTTAGCCAGGGTCTGCAATATTTCTAGGGTTTTGTTTAAAGAAACGAAAGCTACAAAAATTTATTTCAAAAGTTACTTGAAGAGAGTATTTAGTCACAGATTCGAGTAGGAGTGTATTGGAAGTACTTGATTTAAAGCTGTCCAACAAATATTAGCTCACTTGTGCTGCTTCTTCTACTCATTTCCTTATCCTGCTCAGGGAAGAGCATGGGCAACAAATAAGATGAAATAATGATGTTCCCTGGCTATAGTTGCAACCCAGATAAAAATTCATATCGTTCAAATGTAATGGCAGGCAGGAATAGAATATTTAATACCTTTAAGGACAACATTTGTATTGCACAGATCATGTTTACTCTGATAACTCCCAAAGTTTTTCTATTTGCATTGGTAGCCTGACATTTTTCTAATTTATTTTATTTTTGTGTATGCAGCCTGTACATATGAAATGCCCCTATTTTCCCTGTTTTCCCTGTTGGTTAATAGGTTGGCTTATGCTAGTGATTTGCAATATTACAGGCAAGAGAGGATGTGATCCACATGCTGAAGACAGAGAAAACCAAACCTGAAGTTTTAGAAGCTCATTATGGGTCTGCAGCTCCAGAGAATGTGCTCCGAGTGCTACACAGGGATGCCATCCTTGCCCAAGAAAAGTCTATAGGGGAAGATGTCTATGAAAAACCAATTTCAGAGGTAATTGATTTACAACATTATGTCTGTGCAGGGGGAATCCTAACCAGAAGTGAGACTCCACATATTTTGAGAGTGTGCAAAGCACTCAAGAGGATAAAACAGAATTTGTACAATGACAAGAAATCAAAGAAAACCTTGTTCACTCAAATGCAGAATAATTTGTAAGTGAAGTCATTGGATTTGAACACAAACCATAAAGAGGTTGTATGATTCTTAGGGCTGGTGCTGTTAAACAAGACCAAAATCTTTGGGTGTTACCTTCTGGTTTTTACATTCCTTTCAATTATAGGCTTCAACCTCTATTGCTCACAGCACTGGTACGAACTCTTTGATTTTCTTGGCATACAAGACCACTATCATGTGGGTAGTTAAGAAAAGAAGACCTTTGGAGATTAATGATATTCATGGGATCATAAATCTGTATTCACTTTACATCACTTAAGTTCTAGAACTCCAAAGTCAGTTCAGCCCCTAAAAGAGACTTATAGGACTTGATCCCTTGCTTTAAAATATAAGCAATAAATGAATGTGGAATAGACCTGGGAATGTCTAAGGCCAGTGTGAACGCCAAAATAAATAGCCACTGCTCGTGTTTATAGTTTCATAACAGTCCAGGGCATGGAGAAAGAGCATGCAACAACATACTGTAGTGGTTGCCCAAATCTTCACAGTTCCTCCTATTAGAACATTTAATTTGTTTACCAGGAATTGTGTCTACCATGAGATATCTTTATACTGTTTATTCTCATTGAAGCGTCTCCTGGAATCTTGGGGATGTCAGTAAATAAGGAAAACAAACCAACCTTAGCATGTGGGAGCATGCAAAAAATATTGTCAAACAAGATTAGAAGGGCTTAGCAAGGCCTTTTTCTAAAGAAGATGATAATTTAACAGGGACCTCAGTGAAAAAAGTAAAACTTTGTCACGTGTAGGTTCACAAGGGTTATGTAGAAACTAAAACAGAATGGTGACAAAATTAAGTGCAAAAGATCAGCCAAACCTGTCTCCTCTATAAAATGCAATGACTGTTTGACTGCTATGGTCAGTTTCTGGAGATCAAATTGCCAGAGTCCTCCTGCTTTCCTACTTCCCTTAGTTTGCTGAGGCACCCTGTGAAACAACTGTCCAGTGCATCTGGGGCCAAGGAAGATGGTAAGGGCTGGAGGTGTGCAGAGCAGGCTCAGCCAGACATTCTGCCAGGGGCAGGCAAGCAGAGAAGTACCAGGGCTGTGGGCCGCTTTGGCAAGGAAGAGGATGGAGATTTTTATCTGCACCCAAGAACCAGCAAAAGGAGCAACATGAATAGCCATGGTGTGTTTGGAGCGCCCTAGCATCTTTTTAGACACACCTTCCTGGTCTTAGTGCTTGTTTGAATAACAACTGGCAAATTAAATTAATAAAAAAAATTACAGAAGGTAAAAAAGGTAAAGTGTTGCAAATAAAGAAAGATAATTTCTGTCAAAAAACAGGCTGAGGGGGAAACCCTAAAGCTTATATTGAATTGTATTTGGTAATGTAAAACTGAATCTGTACTGAATCTAAATAGATTTATCTCAGCAGTTGTACAGGTGTGTTGAAGATGCACAACTCAAATTTCAGCCTTGAGATTACACTTTATGCTCCACATGTAGGTGTCTAGTCCCCGTACAGGTGTGTGAACTCAGGTTCCCAGGGTCAGAGGTCTCAGCTACAGCTTTTCCTGTATGAAATGAAAAAAGTGTGCACAGCACCTCACCACAGGGGACATTCTGCACTGCAACAAATTTGATACCCGCAAACTAAGTGAAGTTCTGCCTTTTGTGTATGTGAAAACTGTGCAAATGTTTATTGCTAATATGTCATCCAGATAAATCATTACTTTCACAGGACAGTTATTCTTATTTCTAGTTACTGCTTTACATATAGCTCAAGAATTAAAACTGTGGGACTCACATTTACCAAACAGAACACTGTTGGTTAATAAATCAGATGAAGTAATCAAGGAGACCTTTAAAACAGTCTGTTCTCATCTCCTACAATCCAGCTAGACAGACTTGAAGAAAAGCAGAAAGAGACGTATCGGCGCATGCTGGAACAGCTCCTGTTGGCAGAAAAGTGCCATCGTCGCACAGTTTATGAGCTAGAAAATGAGAAACATAAACATACAGATTACATGAACAAGAGTGATGACTTTACTAATCTCCTGGAACAGGAGCGGGAGAGGTGAGTACCTGAGACAGTGCAAAGACTATACCCAGTGTCCCAGTGTTTGTCAGTTCAGCAGTGATTTGTTCTGTATTTTCTGTGTTCAAATGACACTAAACTCACGTGTAAACCATTTGAAAATGTCAGTCCACTCATGTTGTTAGTAAGTACATTACTGTGCAAGTCTAGAGCTGGAGGAATACCATTGAATGTTCCTGTAGTGTGCACTTGAATTAAGAAATGGATTTGTTTTGAATTAGTCATGCCCGTTTTGGGTTCACCTCCAGGTAGCTTTTGATCAGATGTTATTTATGTTGGCTAAGTTTGGGACTGGCTTGCTTAGCTAAGTGCTACATTTCATGAAGGTCAGAGCACTGTTGTCACAGCAGGAGGACAGGGTAAGGAAAACCACAACACGTATAACGATACTAGCACACAAGTGGTGGGACTTTGCCATGCCCTTAACATTTAGGCTTGAAAAGGCACAAACCATTTGCATTCTTTTTAATATCTTTGAAGACACATGCCTCAGGCAAGTTCTCTGTTCCCGTGGAAGAAAATATTTTCATGTTTTACAAAACGTGCCTAGCCTGTGGTATCTGCAGTGTTTATTTCACAGTCTATACACTCAAGATTGTTTTTTCCAAGTGTTTATCCTGCTTGAGGGAAGAGTCTTTGTGTCTCTAAGAAAAGAAAGATAACTACCTTAGGTGAAGGTTGAGCACTCAGTTTTTCAATGTGAAAATTTCATGCTCATACCAAATTGCTTGAAATCAATACATGATGTTGTGTTTCTTTTAAAAAAAAAAAACAACAAACAAGCTCTGAGAAAAACACTTAAGGCAAGTTCAAAGAAGAAATGCTGTTGAGGAAACCACAGGCTTGTGGCAGACATTTGCAAAAAGCTAGGAGTGAAATTGTTTGGTGTATTTCTTGAGCTCAGTTCAGCGCCAGCTTTGAGTAGGTGGCACATGAGCTACAGTGACGATATTTCCTGGTTTAATAGCTGTTATTTTTCTGTCTCTATTTTCCTGCGTTGATTGGCAAACATTAAAGGAAAAAAATGCTTCTGTATCCTAGCAATTGGATTCTCATAGTAGAAAATAAAAAATGTGTTGTATTTCCAAGTAAAGAGCAGTTTCACATCTGATTCTCATAGCTGCCATTTTCTCTCTATGCTGAATATCCACGTATGTGTGGACATGCAGCCACTAAAATGCTACAAAAGTAAAAGTGGTATTAAAATACCATTTACATTTGTCTTTACATTTAATATTCACATTAATTTGACAGTTGTTGCTCTCTTATTATTCCCTCTCAATTTGTGAAGGCCACTAAATAGTCTAAGATTATGATGTGGTTTGAACTGACTTCCTTCAATGAAGTGATTACAAGGATTTTCGCCTTACATTACTACTGCTATCAAGATATCAAGTCTCATCTCTGTGGGCTTTTTCTCTTACCCTTTCTGCTCTTTCAAACTTCTGGTTTTCTCCATTTTATCATTTTCGAAAAAACAGCAATAAAAAAAAGGAGAATTTGAGCTTGAATTTCTCCTGAAAACAGATCTTTAAGAGCAACTAAGCCTGCTGGCTTCAGTCACCAATGCCTCTGTACTGGTGGCTGCAGGGGAATAATTGCAGTGCTGAAACCCTGTTGATTTATGTTAAGTAAACAAGAAACCTGATGTTTGCTATTTAATCCACTTTGTTTGTCTATGGCACTAGTGAGAAAATTCATTTCAAGTCAGCAGCCGCCAAGCACAGAGGATATGGCATTTAGCTGAACACAGAAAACCAAGATGCACCTCCCTCTCTCTTCTGGGAGTCCTCCTCCCAGATCACTCACAGAGCAGATTAGCAAAATCAGGATGGGCTGTAAACCACTTATTAGCATATAGTCTTAAACGATCCCAACTCCTCACCTTTGCTTGCTGAGTGCACATGAAACTGAGGCTGCACCCACATCTTTGTAAGTATTAAAAACTAGAAGTAGTACTGTTTGAGGGCTATATTCACAAAGAAAAAAAGAGCAATGGGGTGACTTCTTAAGAAAGCCCCAAAGTGACAATAGATTTTGTCAAAAAGAAAGAGTTTGAAGTGTAAAGATTAAGTTGCAGTAGGATAAAACATACAAAAAACTCATACTCACCTAATCTGCATATTGGGACAGAGAACTGACCTGCTCAAAGGCATTTTTCAAGGTCCTGCACAGGCATTCTAGTTTTATAAGTACCACTATGTACATAATTCACTTTACTGTGGTGCTTTGAGGGTTATTTTATTAAGAACTGAACAGACTTGTAGTCTCCATGAAAACGAAAAGGGACACAGAGGTGAACTTTGCCCGTCAGCCACTCTGCTGCACTCACAGTTATAATGTTAATGAGACAGGGTGAGCCAGAAGAAGAACAGTGCTGTGGGATGGCCATCTCACAGCAGTCTGCTACAATGAGAGCAGTAATAATTCCTGCCCTGGATCTAAGTAATTTCAGTGATTTCTTTCCTCACAGTATTTTATCAACCTTTCCTTACCATTGTCCTCATCAACTTTTGCAGGCCACATCTGCTTTTGCTGTCTTGTGAAAGTTTGAACAAAGGAAAAAGGGGAATTCTCTAAGAGCAGAAATATGCCTCAGTTCTAATGTATGTCTAGCACACTCTTAATGTATTTACTTTGGAATATTTTTTTTACATGCACTTTCATACATTGTCTCTAATGCACCTACAACAACACGATATGAAAGCAAACCATTCCTACGAAGGGACTAATTGTTAGGTCAGCCTCACACAGGAAGGAAGTAACAGGAAAACATGATTTGTCAAGAATAATTATGCATGAAAAGTATAAGAAAGTGGACATTGTACATTGGGATATTCAAAATGTAGACAGCTGGGAGGGTAAAGGGAGAAAGCTGGAGGGCCTCGCTGTTGGTATTGGCTCTGCAAAACCAAGTGCAACTGACCTGAAGAAAGATTGTGGGAAAAGTTGGCATGTTACAGGAAAAGAGTAGTGACAACCCTTTGCCAGATAGAGATGAAAGAAATCTGGTACTTTTAGTGGAAGGTGCTTCTGCAGACATGGTGGCTGAAGTGTTTTGCAAATTTCCCTATAGTATGCTATAATAATATCTAATGATGTTTGAAAGTTACAGACAGTATTTTCTATTTTTCTATGCGACTAAATTTCCCTTTTCAGTGCTTGCCCACCTCAGCTGCTGTTTCTGTAACATCCAGTTGTCCTTGGTCATCTCCTATCCCCAGGAATGCAAAAGCAGACATCTTCCTGGAGCCTCCTGAGGAGGCTGAAAAATACAGAGAAGAGCTGGAGGTCCCTGGGCCCTCTCAGAGACCTTGGGTGGCAGATGGTGGGGTAAGGAGTCTGTGGTCTGACAGATGGAGAATGAGGGGTCTGGTCAGAACTGCACTGACAATGTGGCTTGCAGTGGACACCTGGAGAGCAGAAGAGCAGGCAGCAGCAGCAGCCTCAGGGATAAAATTAGTCTTCCTAGTGTAGAGAGCTGGTGGTCTGAGTTTGGGCTGAGCTGGTTGCAGCTAAACCAGCTATTTGTACTTCCCCACTCCAAAAATTCATGTGTAAGGCACAATTAGCATGAAATGGTATTTGATTGTTCTCTGTTCTGCCTAGTCCCAGCCCTCTTGCCTTCCCCTTTAGGGAACTGGGATGGGTGGGGGCAATCTTTAGGATCAATTATAAACTTTTTCATTTGATAGCAGGGCTTTTTGTTTTGGTGGAAAAGGGTAGAGTTCTGTGTAACCTTAACACTTTGACATCTCGATTGACCTAGGAGACGAGCTTTAAAATGCTGACATTTTTAGAGGTGCTAATCTCTGAACAATTTGTCTTGTACCCTTCTTTTAATCCCGTTTGTTGACAGCACATTTTGCTGCTATTAAAAGCACTGGAAAGCTCCCATTGATTTTAAGGATTCAGAAACAGGCTTGCTGTGACAACCACTGCCATCCAGGACTGATTGAAGAAATAGCCTGAAAGACTTCAAAAATGGGGCAAAGGGGGAGTAGGGAGTTTCTTTTATAAGCACTGGAAGTGGGTTGCAGAATAGAGGGTGTGATATGGCAAAAAGGCTTTGTTGAAGCTCTGTTATGGGGGATCTGCTTGGTGAGTAGTTTGGTCATTTCCACCACGACCCGTGAGACTGCTGAGACTCTGTCACCCCACCACGCAAGGTGTCAGTAAATATACACCCAGTGTCTAAGTGTTGTCTGTCCTAAAGCACTGATATTATGCTTAGCCATGTTTCACTGTAAGATTTAATTGAAGTGATGAGGATTTTAAATTGGTTCTTGCTTTCCATGCTGCTTCAAATTATTCTTTACAACCACAGCGACAGTGTTCCCAGTGCACTGAAGCATTTCATGTTTTCCTCAAGGCAAGGCTGAGGATTCAGTCTGTAGTTCCTAAGCATTGCCCTGTTAAATCTGGTTTTGGTTAAATCTTCTTTTTGAAGTACATGGCCATAATTAGATCTGCTTAGAGGAGACAGCAAGACTGTGACCCCAGATCTTTCCTCCAAAAAGTTTCCTGTCAGTCTTCATGTAAAATTGTCTCCTCTTTGCCTCCCCCATCGCAGCACCCCCAGCAAGGAATGCACTGGCAAGTCCCTCGGAGGTCTGTGATAATACATTCCTCTTGGCTTCGGTCATCCTGGCACAAAGATGCTCTTGGCTGCTCTGCTGCTGATGTAATTCTAGGCCTGGATCACCTGCAAAGGAAACTGATCTGTGAGCAATAAAGCATATAGCCATCTTGAAGTAAAAATGAGAGTGTTGATGTTAACAAGTTTTTAAAACACTTTTTTCCTTTTATGTCTTTCTACTTTTATTAACAAACTTCCCCTTCTTCCTTTTCCCACAAGACGGCAGCACCAAGTCTTTCATTGGGAAGTGCTTGCCTTTTTGTTTCCCTCTATATCATGGACCTAAGCAACTGCAAAGGCTGGAGTGTAATACAGCTTGGAGATTTTGTGTGTGTTACCT